TTATAGAATAAATATATATATATATATATATATATATATAAAAACTTGCCAAAAGAAACCTAAACTATTTTGCTAAGAACACAGGAGGAAGGTAATTCTGAAATCATTACCTTGCAGCTCTTCTTATGTTGAAGAAAAATATTCCAGTTAGTAAGAAAGAAGAGAGCAATGGATATTTTTTTTAACAACTCGTCTGATCTTAACAATCTAATTTTATAAGAGACTCCTTAATCACTCGTTTGGTCATTATGAATTGACCAAAATAATTGTTGCAATGGATTCGATTTTTCTTTTTTTTTATATAGATTTTTTTTCTCACATGAACAATGCTTTTTTCGAGCACAGAAATCACCGACTATTATACTATCTATCCCTTGGGCGAAGTTAGGGTAATAAAGCAAAGATCCACTAATTTACTGATTTTCTATTTCAATTGGGTGATTTTTTCCCACTGGAAAGCTTAGCATGAGACTGGACAAATCCCAAGAACGTTTTGGGTATACCTTCAATAAGTCTTTATTATTTGATCCATATCCTGATATAAGAAGTCCCACCGGACAATACTTCAAGTGGCAATCAAAAAAAAAAAAACACCAATACTGAGATTGGCTAGAACAATGCAGGGTTCCTAATTTTTTTGGTGTTTTGGAATTATTTGATACTATGAAGGATATTTAGGTATTTCAGAATGAGGGTATTTTGGACCTTAAAAATAATTCTTGAAGCATTTGTAATTATTTTTTAAAATTCAATCAAATTTAAAAGTAAACTTTTAAAATAGACCATTTTGTTATTTAAGATTCCTAACTCTACCTATTTGTAATTTTCCCTAAAAAAAACAAACAAATACTCACTCGGTCCTAAAAAAAAATGTCATACTTTTCATTTTGGTCTGTCCCAAAATAATTATCCACTTTTCTTTTTTAAATAATATATTTTACATCTTTCTATATATGTCCTTGGAGTTTAAAATTTCAAACTTAAATATAAGGGCAAATTAGTAATTTTTCAGGGTGATAACGCATGTCCACATGTCCCTTAAAAATTCCTACTCTCCAAAAGCAACATCTAAACTGAGACAGATAGAGTAATAACTACAAAACTTGAACTTCATTGCACAGAAACAAAAATTAAAATAAAATTATACAAAATTGACATATTTAAATTAAGAGAAATGTTAAATGACCCGACTACTGTTCACCCGTCTTTAATCGACGGACAGTTGTCAAATTCAGATTGGTACAACTAGGCAAATGTTTTCCCCTTCTTGGCACAACTTTACTCTCTCATCTCTTTATCTTTCTCCTCTCTCTCTCCTGTGGCGCTTCCATGTTCTCTTTTTCTTGTGATTCTTCGTCTCGTCTCCGTACGATCGGCAACGCCAGACCTACAAACGGCCGTCCTAGGGAAGCACGCCATGGGGCGTGGCGGAGTTCATCGTCATGTTGCTAATTTTGGTGCATTGTCTTGCAACTTTTTATTTCTAGTTGGTTTAATAGGTGTGATTTGTAAATAGAAGTACTGGGTTTTGTTCAATTAGATCTAAAAGTTGGGTTAATTCTGCTGTTAATCATGATTGTTATTGGCTTATGTGTTTTTGATTGAGGAAAGTGGTTGGATAACCAAGCCCTAGAGAGAACTGCGTTTTCAATACCTCCATAATGTTGGGATTTATATGCCCTGGCATAGCAAATTCCTGTTTGGATTATAGTGACTTATGTTCCTGACGTTTCTGAAATATTTATGTTTTATACAATTGGTGAATTCAATGTATTATATTTCGATTCAGTATAGAATTGATAGTGTCCATTTGATTACAAGAGATATTTATATATATGTATGTGATGGCAATCAATGCATGATATATAAATAGTAATCATAAATGGTTCATAGTCGGTAATTATGGATGGACTCATAATTAATTAAGATTTGAACTGGATCCGTGTTAGGTTGAGATATATTGCGAGAGCCGTCGTATGCAATTACTCCCTATCACCGTCATGGCATTTGACTCTTAAGCATGAGAAAATTATAGACTCTTTTATTAATTAATAATCACTTTGCTTTGTTCGGCGGATTCTTCGGGATCCTTAGACCGACACTTTGGGTAGTTGTGTAATTAATAATTAGAGGGTTATATTTTCAATATTTGCATCATTGCTACTTGTATTTATTTTGTATTGATTATGGTTGATCACAAAGTAAATTCGAAGGCCTTCGTGTGTTTTTAGACAAAATGATTTATTATATATTTATTTATTTAAATTATTATTTTTGTCAAACAAATGTTTTATTGTGATCGAGCTAGAAATAATCAAAGGTACCAAAATAAATATATTAATTAAGTAGTCGGATTGATGACTATATTTATCCGATAACTAATTATGCATAGAGGGGTCAAAGTGCAATATTGACTTAGAGGTTATTTATTATTTAATTGGAGTTCAATTAATTTCTTTTAGTGGAGTAGAAATTAATTTATGAATTAATTGAATTGGGTCCATGGATCGGGCCAATTATTAATTCATTGTAGCCAATAAAATAATAGGCCCAATGGATTCTCACTCATAGCCCAACTTGATATTGGAATCATATTAGATTTGAGACATATGACTTAGAGATGGAGAAGGATTTGTTGTTTCCTTTTCTTTATTTTTATGTTGCCTATAAATATACATGGTCTATGTATATTTTAGGGGGTGATTTTTATGAGAAGGAAAAAGGAATAAATTTTCTCTCTCTAGAAAATTAGGGTTTATGTTCTCATCTAACGGAGGCTCCCACAAGCTTAGTTTTCCAAGGTAATTCATGGAGGCTTATGAGTGATTCCTAAAGGCAAAATAATTACCAAGAAGATGGAGATCCAAGGAGAAGGCATCTTACTAAGGGATCTACAATAAGTGAGAACATTCACTTTAGAGGAAAGTTTTAAAGGTTTACTCAGACCTTTGATGTAAGTATTCAATCCATTAATTGAATGATTCATCATATTTTTATTTTTGCATAAAACTTGTCTCTATGTGATGAATCAAGATTTATGAATCAAAATCTCTCGAAAAGTTTTAAAACTTGCACGTTTCCCAACACATAATGCAAAGCTCTGTTCTGAAGAAAAAAAAAAAATGAATTGCGTTTTCAGTAACTTTAATTTTTTGTTTTTTGTTTTGTTTTTTGAGTAATTGTCTTTTAATCCTTCGAAAATTGGTTTGTTCTCATGAACTGATTTCTTCCACTTTTTCTCTTCATTTTCTCAGGGGGTTTTTGATATTTGAGGCATTGTGTTTGGGAGCTTAGAAATTGGAGATACAATAAAATCTTGAAGAACAAGCTGCCTTACTTAACATGTTAAAGAATTTGAAGGAAAAAAATATAAGCCACAGCTCCCATTTTCCATTGAAATAGCTATGGACACAGGACATTGTTAAAGGAAACATAAACAAGAACCATACTCCAAATTCAAAATACATTTGCATATCACTGCATAATTGGTAAACACCATTAAGACATTTGCAAAATTGTACTCAATGTCTGTCTATCCAAAAAACTTAACGAGAGCATACATTTGCAATACAACTTCATCACTAAAAATTCGTATCAAATCTGTTGTGCTGGATTCCATCACAAAGAGAACCTGCAAACAAAAAAAATCAATTAATTTCGTATACCTTCAACATTTTAATCACTAGTGTACTTCTTTTTAAGTAGCACTAAAATATACCTTCATAAGTAATCTTAGGCTTAATATTTTTTTCACTCGAAGTATGGTCGAAGTTATGATTTTGCCAAGAAGGGTCACTCCTTGACATGTAGTGTGGTGGATACACCTATCATTATTGAAAACAGAGAAGTAAGAAATAATGTTTTAAAGTCATAGTAGGATATGACCAAATTGATTTCTTAACTACCTGGAGTGAGTTATCTGCAAAGTTGCAATAATTTATAACTGCCCCTAAGTACATGCCATTCCAAGCAGTTGGAGCAATCTGCTATACCGAAAAAAAAAACCGCATTAGAATCAATACAATTATCCAATGGTAAGTTAAATAAATACATGATTGTTATAATTCAGTTTACCATGTGACTTTCTTGAATCAAAATTTTGTCAACATGTGAGTCATCTTTTTCACCAAGTGGCTCTCTTGTTATTCATTGAGAAATCTATCAACATGCATTCAAACAAAAATTTAATAAACAAAAAATATAATATAACTTGATATTAAAAACTAATTTAGCAACAAAAGTTTTCCAATACCTTCTTTCCTTTTTTAATTATTTTGCCAACTATACTTTCTTTCCGTTTTGAAGGCGGACGACCCTTGGCGCGCGCCTTTAATGGAGTAAGTAACCTGCTGACATCATTCGAAACTCCATGGATTTGTCCACTCCCAGAAACTGAGTCCATGGTAAGCAATTTTTCCTTTGTCTCTTTCAATAATTCAATTAGAAACTCACACTTACGATTAGAGTCTACTCCAAGCTCTTGAAGTTCATGAAAAAATAGATTCAACTTATTGTCTCGATGCCTTTGCTCACTATTACTAACATCATCATAAGTGTTTTTCACAAAAGTGCATCCACGTTTCAAGGTAAACACGAACAATAATGAATCTTCCATCATCTTTAGCCACAGTATTGATTTTAGCCTTGCAATTGGTCTTAGTTAAAGGCCTTGGATGCAAACGGTCTTTTCTAGTTGAGTTTCGATTTCCATATTTAGCGCATGCAAGTGAAAAATACCTTGATTTTCCATTTCTTCCATTTTTTGCACTGATTTTTATTACACCAAAACCTTGACTCTTCGCATAGTTGTTATAATAACTACAAATTTCTTCTTCAGAAGGAAAAACCATCCCAACCATAGGTTTTTCCACTTCATCCCGAGGGAACATTCCTTCAATCTTCTCCCCGTCATTGAAGTCTTCATTTGAAGTGACTTGCATATGACAACCTTCTTCCATTTCTAATAACATGTTACGGCACTAGTTAAGCATATTAGACCATTCTAATATAACCACACAGCAAACACAGTTTCTTCTTTGTTTATAAATTGAAACTAGTACTTTGGATAATGTTTTTCCGGGCAAAGATGTAGGATTTGTTTATTCAATTTAAAACTTTTGGATCGATCATTGGACAACTTGTGAAAAATATCTGTTGATTATTTTGGTGGATAATAATTTGTAGCAATTCTTTTGCTGGGTAACAATTTCTTTGGTAAAATGCTATTTTGGTGATTTTGATTTATTGCTGATCTTAGGACAGTCGTGTACTCCATTCTTGATTTAGGTATTGTTTCACCCCCCCGGGGGCCGCGGGGACCCAACTAATTCTTTCTTGAATTTTAGGTGTTGGAATTTGAAGAAATACACATGGTTGATCTGATGAAGTATTTATTGAGTTATGCAAGCAATCCTAGTTAGACCATTCTAATATATCCACAGCAAACCCAGTTTATTTCTTCTTTCTTTTTTTTCACAGTTTATTTTAGAAAAAATAAAAGGACAAATTCCATACAAAAACTGAAAATATATTGAATAATATTAAATCCATACCTGATATAGGTGTTTTTGAGATCAATTTTAGATTAAGTTTCTTCAAAAACGTGGTTTGCTCGAAGCGGTAAAGCAAATTGAACACACTGCTCACCGGTAAGCCAGCTCCTCGCCAGTACAATCTGTGCCGCTCCTCGCCGTTTTGGTTACAGATCTGGTCATTCATCGCCGCTTGCACTATGAGAATCTCGCTAGGGCTTGGAAAAAGAAAAAGAGAACAAGAAAAAGAGAAGATGGAAGGACTGCTTATTTGGACAGCCACGTAAGATGTTGAAACCGGGTGAACAGTAGTCTGGTCGTGTAGCACCAGTCTTAAATTAATTTCTCTTTACCATGTCAAAATTGCAACCCAAAAATAATAATGTGAAAATAGCTTTTTTAAAAAAATAAATTGAATGGTTAGAAAGAGTTGTGAGTTACAAGAAGTGGAGCGAATCCTAGAGTCCAAACTAAAACCGATTAATGCTACTCTCCCTATGGATAAACTGTGTTTCCAATGGCTGTGGCTACTATTGCTTTGCACCAGCACTTGTTCTTCTTCTGCTCGCCAAATTCAAGAACATGTCTTCTCAACAGAAGAGCCCTTTCCAAACCCCAAAAGAGGGTCCGTCTTTCTCTCATATCTTGCTCTTCTTCGCCGCCTTCGTCGTCGTCTCCGCCGGCAGTCGATACAGCGACGGCCGAATCTTGTGTCAACCAGGGCCTTGCTCTCTTTTCCAAAGGGCGGGTAATTCCAACTTTATCTTTAAATCTTTTAAGTTTTCTTTCTTGAATTTGTGACCTCTATTTGTTATTGGGTAAAATTGGTTCTGGTACTTTGGTTCTAGTTCTATGTCAAGATTGGTTTTCTGAATAAAGATGTAAAACGAAAGAAAAAGAACCGTATTCATGCTTTTATGAAATGGGTGTGTTGAATTTTTGCAACTTTTCCTAATCATGCTTCTTCTGAACGCGTTTGTTGATCTTGGACCCAATTTAGGCTTTTATGATCTGGGTACATTTTATCTTGGTAACTTTGGGTCCTAATTTTTTATAAAATTGATGTTCTCCTACAAATTTTGTTATGAGTGTATCTATTTTCTGATCATTTTTTATAGCCCGGCTCAAAATCTGAGTTTTTATTTCAGTTGCGGTTTTCCTGTAAAAGAAATTGAAAGACGAATAGATGGGTTATGGTGATTATGTTAAAAAGTCTTATCAAAGAGCTGCTGCAAGAATTTCTGATATAGAAAGAAGTAATTGAGGTTATTTTTCTTTATTGTGATTTGAGATAATGAACAGGTTTTACTTACTTATAAAAAAAGATAATGAACAGGTTAGGTTCCACATTGACCTAATGTATAACAAGTTGTCATGCGAGCATCAGCCTTGTTAACTAAAATGATATAGATTAGGGAAACATGAATATAATATATAATTATATATATGTAACACTGACATTTCACCTTGCTGGGAAAAAAATTACCAAAATTTCTACTCTGAAATCCAAATTTAAATAATTGCCATTTGCCTCAATTTGGTGTTGCTCTCACAGCCCACACCACAACATTGCTTTACCCCTAGATGTCAAGTCAATTACTGCACGTCAATTCATTTCGGAGAGAACCAGGTAGCTGTAGGTTTGAGTGGCATTTCACCCCAAACCACAACCCGTACGCCAATTCTTCAACATCTTCGGTTACCTCCACTTATTTTCAATCTTGCTTCATGCTAGTCATGGATAGATCACCTGGGTTTGTGACCGTGTCCGTTATCAATGACAATTGCCCTATGAAGACTCGCTTCTGCTACGTGTTGCAATCCCTGCCACTAGTTTTCTAATCAATGCATGATGAAATCTTAGGAACATTTTGGAACTAGTTTAGAGAGTTAGAAGTACGTTTTAGAGAAAAAATAGATAAGGAATTATTTTGTCACTCATTTTCCCTATAGTTGCCAAAGCCTACATTTTCAGAGGTAATAGACACTATATAAAAGTTCTGTAGCATTCTTTACTTATTAATACGCTTGATTTATATAACTAGACATGTTGGAGTACAATGTAGTGGAATAACTAGTGTAAAACGAGGCGGACTGAGGCTTGTTGGGTATTTATTTATTTATTATTATATCAAGGTAAGGCTTCTTGAGTTGAGTTGAATTGATTCCCTGATTTTTCCTTTATAGATTTTGAAACATATATATATATTACTTTTTGGTTGGGTTTAGAATAATTGTCTTAATTGTTTCTTTATTTTTGAACAATTGATAATTTGGGTAAAAGTTATCAGTAAATTTGAACAAGTGAATCGAAAATGTAAATCTAAAGACATTTAGGCAAAAAGTTTCATCTTTCATGCCAATAACAATGAATTTTCCAGGTTAAAGATGCTCTCGCTCAGTTTGAAACAGCACTTACTTTAGATCCTAATCCAATGGAGGCTCAAGCTGCACTCTATAACAAAGCCTGCTGTCATGCCTACAGGTAGTGATTTTCAGCTTTCCTTTTTGTTGCTTGTTTCCTTTTTATTGGAATGTAAACTGTTGCTTATATATGTTAATGATATTCGACTCCATCAAAGTAACTAATGTGGTGTGTCTGGAAGCAGTTTTGAAAATGATTCACTTGTGGTACATGAACCATTTAAACTCAGATTTTTTAAATAAATTTCTTTGGTTTTAATCTTCCATGAGGTTGCTCCAAACTTGCTAGAAACTACTGCTAGTCTGTTTTTGTTGGTAAATGGTGAATATTTTTGCAAGAAAGAGGAAAACAACAACAAACATACAAGTAGGTCCATAAACAGCCATGTGCCCATACAAGGATGGCTAGACAACCTTGAAAGTTGAAACCCTCAATCAACAACATCACAGATAAACCACCGGTCAATTAACATAAAACATGACATTATCGCGGTGCTTTTGATAAAATTGAAAATTAAGCACTTAAAATTTTATGCACTGATTTTTTTTTTTTTTTTTTTCGATGAGCAAATATTCATAAAAGGCACTCAAAAGGGGAGCGCTCCCAAGAGAACAAATTTTATGCACTGAATTTTAATTGCTAAATTTATTAATCTAGAAACCTGTTTGATACTATTGGAGTTTTAAGTGCTGAATTCATTAAGATTGTTTGATAAATACAACTAAAGCACTATTGGAGTTTTAAGTGCTGAATTCATTAAGAATGAGGAATTTCATATGGGGACATGTTGAAAATAGGAAGAAAATGCATGGTCTCAGGCGGAAGAAGATCACTACAACTAAAGAGGAAGGTGGAATGGGATTGAGAAGAATAGAGGACATTGATATAGCTTCCAAATTTGTCTTGCCTGGGATTTTCTGTTTTCTAAGGATAGAATTTGGGTGGCTTGGTTTAAGCAGTGCTACTTGAGGAGGGCTTATTATTGGAATGTTGTTCCTAGGGTGTCCTCTTCAGCTGTGTGGAGAAGCATCATTGCTATCAGAGATATTGTGAAGGCAAATTGCCAATATAAGGTAGGCAATGGTCAGAATATAAAAGTATTTTTGGATCCATGGTGTGAAGGGAAATTTTTTAATGAAGTGTATAATCATAGGATGCTGGGGCATTTGAGTAGAGATGAGAAGATTTGTATGAGTGAGTTTATTACTGATGGGCAGTGGGATGAGGAGAAATTGAGTTATACTACTTTGGATATGCTGCAGTTGTTCAAAAACCAGATTATACATGGAGGGGAGTACAAGATACAATGGACACAGACCTTTGGTTTTAAAGCAGCATGGGAAGCTGCTAGAGTCAGAAATCAAGATGTAGGATGGGCTGGTTTGTGCTGGAGTGGAGGGAGGCCTGGATGGTCAGTCCATTCTGTGCTGGTAATGCAAAAAGCAGTTATATCTCAGGCTTTTCTGCAATGGAAGGGGTTTGCACTTGCTACTAGGTGTTATCTCTGTTATAAAGATGCTGAAAATTTAGATCACCTGTTTTGCTGCTGTGAGTATACATAGAAAGTGTGGATGTTTCTATCTGAGGTTTGTGTATGGAATTTACAAAGGTGTATTGGGGTACAAGATTTGGCTGAGCATTTCATTCAGAATTTCCAAGGGAAGGGTACCAAGAAGATTGCTAGAGTCATGTTTATAGCTACTCTATATCTTTTATGGTGGGAAAGGAATAATAGATTACATGATAAGTGTATTAGAGAGGCTAAGGAATTAGCTAAATGCATACTTAGGGAGGTTTTAGATGTTTTGGGGGTAAATCTTCAGCATATCTTGTAATTCTTTGGGCTAGTTTCAGGTTGTTCATGCCTTTGTTAAGGGCTTTGTTTTGTTTTTTGGTGAGGGTTTGCCCTCGTTTGTCTTCTTGTACTATATTGTTTATATTTTAATATACTCCTTCATTTAGGAAATATATATATATATATACAAAAACTGAAATCTGAAAATGGTTCTGATTACACTGTTACCTCAATAACCTGCAATATTACATTTTTGCACCTTAATCAATTTCAGTTTGTCATGAAATTCTTTGTGGTGCTCTGCTTCTAGACGATGATGGTATGGGTTGGAATACTAGAGAGTATTTGTAGAGAGAGGCAGTAGAGAGAGAGTGTCCAGAGGAGTGACATTGTTGAGAATTGAGAAGAGAACATGAATGTCTTCTGTCTGAATGTGTCCTGATTATTTGAGGTTAAAGTTGTCTTTAAAAAATTATTTATAAAACCCAATACCTCTTAGCCTGTTTTACGTTTGAATTTTTGCCTTTTTTAAGCAGTGCTTAATTTTTAAGTGGTATCCTAAATTGTTATTAAATGCACTTATTTTTTTAAAATCACTTGATCTGTTCAGTTTTGAGGGCGAGCCTCGGCCCAACGGTAAAGTTGGTCCATTAGTTTGTTCAATTTTAAGCGCTGAATGAGGTGAAGTTATCAAGTAGGGCCTCAATCTTTATCTCTCTCACTTGATCTGCTGTTGTCAAGAACCTGCGACATCATGGACCCATTGTCTAAGCTCTCAGTGAATGTAGTAAAGCATTTGAGAAACAAACTATCCAATTCTTATTCTCTCACATTTTCCAAGGAAAGTAAGTACACCTCCTTTCGAATGCAATGGGTGGAGGCTGCACTAGCTAGCCTCCTGAGGAATGAAACAGGGTCCATGTGATGGAAGTACTAGGCAGTCCATTGGACTTCATAAGTAAACATTTGTATAGATTCTTCTGCCAAATTCTTTTGGAGAACTTGTAATTAAACTAAAATATACATAAAACTATAATACACATTGAATGTGTGGTAGTTGACAGTAGCCCCCTCCTTATATGAGTAGATCTTCAGTGTGGAGTCTCTCCTTTATAGAGTGTCATTTTAAAGAGTTCTTTAGAAAATATGAGTTCATGGTCCAAAAGCACAGCATCTACAATGGAGTCCATGCTCTGGATAAATTAAAGAATGTGAAGAAAGGAGTCCAAATAACCTGGACTCTCCTGTAAAACTTGGGCACTGCTTATCAGATTGTCTCAAATCCCATCTAGCTGCATATTCTGGTATTGGCAATGCAATAACATGATGGGAAAGAATTAAGTATACAGGAATCTTTCTAGAATAATAGATCTGAAACTTTGGATTATGGACCCCAAAAATGCCAATAATTAATCAGAGTGGTGATGGATTTTTATTGGAAAATCTGTTCTTTCAGGAAAGGCCCTACAGATGCCACAAACATAGTTACTGTTTGAGTTTTATCACAAGAAATGAAAATCTGTCAAATTTCAGTTGGCGTGTCTACCTTGTATTTCTGCATATAATGTCATCATACAGATCATGTGGCTAGTTATCATTTGTTTCTTTCAAATAAGTTTATATTTTTCTCATTGAAGTTCAATGATAAATGTTTTCCTGGAAAGCCAAGCTGATGGATCATATTTTTTGTTTTCTATTTTGAGGAAGAGGGGAAGGAAAGAAAGCTTCCGACTGTCTGCGTACTGCTTTGAGAGAATATAACCTCAAATTTGGCACAATTCTTAACGATCCAGACTTAGCCTCCTTCAGAGCTTTGCCCGAATTTAAGGAACTGCAAGAAGAGGTTTGTTGCTCAATTTTGGCTTTATCAATTTTGGTCCCTGGATAGGTAATTCACACTCACACCTACTAACCATTGGAAATGAACCCGCTACTTCCTATTTGGGAGGTGGAGGAGGTACCACTCAAGCTGATGCTTGGCAATATTTTGCATTTCTTATCTGTTAGGTGTTGCTTTAAGCTCCTGAAACAAGGAAGTAAAAGATAATTTAGAGGTTTAAAATGTAAAGTCATCTTGAATCATAGACATTATGTGCTGTTTTCATTTCATTTACAGGCTAGGCTGGGTGGGGAAGATATAGGCTACGGTTTCCGACGAGATCTCAAGCTCATTAGTGAAGTTCAAGCACCATTTCGGGGAGTTAGGAGATTCTTCTATGTGGCACTATCTGCAGCTGCCGGAATTTCACTTTTCTTTACTATACCCAGGCTATTCCATGCAATTCAAGGTGGTGATGGTGCTCCTGATATTTGGGAAACTGCTGGAAATGCTGCTGTCAATATGGGAGGTAAAAAGTGACCTATTTAACTTACAAATCACAATTTGGGGCACCTTATTTGTAATTGCATTGCTGATCCTGTGCATAAAAAATTATTGCTTGGAATTTATCAATACCAAGTATCTTGTTCTCAAAATGACTAAGATTTTGAATCAGCAATCTTCAGGTATCATTATTCTTGGGGCATTATTTTTCTGGGACAACAGGAAAGAGGAGGAACAACTTGCACAAATAACACGAGATGAAACTCTATCAAGGCTGCCTTTGCGCCTTTCAACTAATCGGGTTGTTGAGCTCGTGCAACTACGAGACACTGTCAGGCCAGTTAGTACTAGCACTTTTCTTTTTCTTTTTCTTTTTTTCAGATTATTCACGTTTAAAATTGCTTGAAGTCTCAACTAAATAAATATTAATTATATCTTAGCTTTGACACCGGTACTATCATCATCAAAGCCCTGTCAGTAGAATTTGCTGGATGATTGGTTAAGAGAACCCTGATCGCAATCCTTGTTTACAATAGGGCAGGAAGAGGGTTCAACCTTGATCATAATAAGGCACTAAAAAATGATTTTTTTTGGAAGGCTAAGCAAACTCACACACCTATGCCTCCACCTCCCTTTGGAGAGGTGGGTTTGTACCAGCTGGGCTATTGGCCATTTGGTGATGTCTTGCCTGTTAGTCACTGTCTTGCTACACTTCCAAAGAGTAATGATGACGTGTTTTCAGGAAGAAGAAAGACCCCTTTTTTGCATGACTTTTTGACATTCCGAGTCTCTCAATTCATGTTACAGCCAAATTAAACCTGGTTCTTTGTTTTTTTCTTCTACACTCCACTATTAGACTTTTGTTTTACCAGAAGGAAGTCCGCAACAATTTATTGTGTGGAATTTATATGATCAAATCAAACCCTTCCTTTTTTTCTTTTTTTTCCGGGTAAGAAAAGCACGCACACCCAATTCACAGAAATTATTGTCTCAGTAGGGACTTAATCCCTCAACCTCACATGAGGAAGGAGGAGATATTGCTTGAGCGAAAACCTTGGTGGTCAAACCTTTTCTTCCCACTTACCCAAAATATAAATAAGTAAATACATAATTGAGTTTAAATCATTTTAAACGGCTAAACTCTACACCAGCAACCTGAATTGACTATAATTGTGTATTTATATTGTTGTCATGAGTACCTTGCAAAAAAAAAAAAAAATTTGTCTAAACTAATCCACCCAGGGAACAAAGGGACTATTGGGACCGTATATAGTGTTTCAATTCTTAATGTTGCTATAAAAAAACTGTGCACAAATATTCTAAATATTTGGTCGAAACTCCAATTTATGAATTCTTTACTTTCTTTGTCTTAGTTATGAATTCTTTATTTTTGAAACAACAGATTCTATCAAGTAGACTTTTCTTACTTATCCCCAAAAAAAAAAAAAAAAATCAGAGATTTTCTTTCTGCCTTACCTTATTTCCTTCCTTTTATTGTATTTCCGTTTTTTTTCATGGATCTATATGGGTAATGTCCATTACCTCAATGTGTTGTTATTCTAACTGCTACTTGGTTCAGGTTATTTTGGCTGGGCAAAAAGAGACTGTTTCTTTAGCCATTCAGAAAGCTGAGAGGTTTCGAACTGAGCTCCTCCGGCGAGGTGTTCTTTTAGTTCCTGTAATCTGGGGTGAAGGAAGGGCACCACAAATGGAGAAGAAGGGGTTTGGTAGTTCTCCAAAGGCAGCTGCTGCTCTTCCTTCTATAGGGGTAAGATTGAAGAATTGTGATATGCATTAGCACTGCCCAACATTAACAATTTTCTCTGCTTTGTTCTCATTTTAACTTTTTAGAATAATTGCAATGAAATGTATAGCATTTGTTTTTCAATATGCAATGAGGTAACGGCTGATGTATGTTATATGAAGGGATGCTCCAAAAGTTATATGCTGCTTGACATGTAGGTTTATATAGTATGCTGCTCCGTAGCAACAAACTTTTTTTAGATCTTTAAGTTGTAGATAACTATGTGCATGTTGCAAGCATGCTTAAGATTAAAAGCTTTTGTTTGTTCTTTGACACTATCTGGATGCTATCATGGTAGGAAGATTTCGAGAAACGAGCTCAATCAGTAACTGCAAAATCAAAATTGAGAGCTGAGATCCGATTCAAGGCTGAGGTGGTATCACCAGCAGAGTGGGAAAGGTCAGCTACTACATTTTATTTTCCTGGTCCTCTTCGTTTTTTTTTTATTTTTTGTTGTGGGGGTGGGGGGCTCACTTCAGGGTGGGGTTAAAGTTTTTCATTGATTTGTTGAAAAAAAAAAAAAGGAAAAAAGAAAGGGATTACAGGCTGAGTATGGAGTATGGACATCTTACTCTTCTGTGTCCTTCAAATGGACATTGACTTTAGTTACCTTACCATTAATAATATTATCTTCAACATTCAAACTGTTGTATCATGTCTGAGGTAAACTATAAATGTTAGAAGTATTAAGTTGTGAATAGAATTCCATGGTAGAATCTTGTTGTCTCCCAGAGTTTGATTTTCTTAAACTTACTTATTCAGGTGGATAAGGGATCAACAGAAATCTGAAGGAGTTACACCTGGTGAGGATGTCTACATAATTCTGCGCCTAGATGGTCGTGTTCGAAGATCAGGAAAGGTCAGTGGTAGTAGCAGAATATCTGGCTGCTAGTAAGACGACAGTTTAAGAATGAAACTTATCATCCATCGGCCTTTGTGACCTTGAATAATATTAAGATCTCATTGTTTATTCTATTTTCCTCCAGTGACAGTTAAAGTTTATGTTTCAATTCTTATTGACAACACGTGGGATTCCTTGTATTCAATATTACCTTACAACTGAGCTATTGGGAACCATCAGTCTTTCTCTGATCCAAGACCTTACTTTGTGGATTGTCAAATCTAAGTGGTGTGGATCAATATGGAAAATTGTTACTAAACACACACTGTTTTCTTTTGCAGGGGATGCCGGATTGGGAACAAATTGTGAAGGAGCTGCCACCAGTGGAAGCATTGCTGAGCAAGCTAGAAAGATAACATGACTAATTGGAGCGAATATGTTTGTAAAATTATGGAGTTGTCCCCATCTCTTTCCTTACATTCTCTGTTTTACAAATGATTTATTACAAGCAGCAGAGTTGTCTGTCAAGTGCCTTTGTCCTTGTACAAAATTTTCTTTGGAAATATATTGGAGTAATGTACATGTATACCATTCAAATTTCAAAAGGTGAAGGAAAACTAAATGTCAGGATTTGTGCTATTCTGCTAATCCAATGTTCGATAATCTTGATTTTAGGTAGTTAATTTTCTTTTGGGATCTTGATATCCCAGCAGCAACGCTATTGATTCGCTTACCCATTTTTGAAATCTTGAAAGGTGTATTGTTTTGGGGTTGTAACCCAAATTATTCTTCTACAATATTTTGATGCACAATTCTATAGAAAAATTAAATATGATTTTGAGTTCTTCAACATTTTAAAGTCTTTGGTCCCCCAACCCCAACCACTCCCCCCTGGACTGACTGAGGCATGTGAGGATGAGGGATACCATGGAATCATGTAATGTGCTGTGCATAACCCTAGCTAGAAATTATTTATGAGAGCATTTATGCAAAATTAAATAAAAATTGGAAATGTTAGGTTTGTTTCCAATTTTTCCTTTCCAGCACTTTGAAAGTTAATTTTTGTGCCTTGGATCTTTTATTTGTGAGGAAATTTACCATGTACAAAGCTTTTAATGAATATTTAATTTTTTCCATTTGCAGTCACAACTTGAACTTAATTTTATATGGTTATCTCCCAATTGATGTCTCCATAGTTGTTGGTAACTCCTTAATAATTGTTCTTCTTTTATTTGTGAGGAAATTTACCGTGTACAAGGCTTTTAATGAATATTTAATTTTTTCCATTTGCAGTCACAACTTGAACTTAATTTTACATGGTTACCTCCCAATTGATGTCTCCATAGTTGTTGGTAACTCCTTAATAATTGTTCTTTGCTTATTACTTATTAGGTTTTGAACATAGTCACATAATTCTTCCAAAGACCTTCTTGTTCTTACTTTGTGTGACTTAGATTTTACTGTGACTTAGATTTTACTACTTTCACGTATGACTTAGATTTAGACCAGAACAAATTTAAATTCTAAATGTCAAATATCAATTACAAAAGTAAGACCACCGCCACATCTTTCAAACTGATTATTGTCAACCAGCTTCTCTAAGACTAATTAAAATTAGGTTTGATTAAATGGAATGCCGTAAGTCATACATTTAACATTGTGTTTTGAACAAGTCAATCTCTCATATCCATATGTGTGTGTGTGTGTGTGTCTGTGGGTAAAGAATACATAATATATACTGGTTTTTAAGAAGTTTATATATCATTTTCTTGGTAGGTTTTGAAAGGGTCATATGTTTCATGGATCCAACTTCTTGACAGCAATAAGGACGGTGTTGAACTAGTAAAAATAATCATTAAAATAACAAAGATTCATTGAAGACACGACTGGCCTAATGTCATTAAAAAATTCCAATTTTCTTTTTTTGCCCTTCAATTTTTGAGTTAGGTTTTGTTATTATAATTATTTTCTGATTGAGGTCTAAGATTTGGACAACTAAATTGTTAGTTGAAGTTTGTTGGACATATCATAGAATAAGTATAAAAGCCCTCTTGTATACTCAATTGAATGACTCTTAGGTTAGTTTTACCAATATACCCCAATCATTCACTGTCTAATTACTAAAACAAACAGGTCAACTTTACATTTGCACTAGATGCAAGAAATTGCAGAAATCAATGTTCAATCTGAGAAAAGGTTGTGATATTAAAAAAAAAAAAAAAAAATACAGTTTTGATACATAAATAAATTTCAAATGCTGGACAATCTGAGAAAAGGTTGTGATATTAAAAGAAAAAAAAAACGAACGAATTGTTGGGATTCGAGTAAAAGAAAGAAGGAATGCAATGAAATTAATTCTTTTTTTTTTTTTTTCAGCAATGAAATTAATTCGATAACTTCTTTTTTTGGTGAGTAAATTAATTGAAAACTTCGTACAAATGGATCTGCATGTGATATTTAATGTATGACAGATGGAATTTTATGCTACTACTAATAGGTTGGACTTTAGAGTAATGTAAAAAGCATTCTTAGAAAGAGGAAGTTATAGTTTCCTTTTCAATTTTTTCAATTTAATTATGTGTTCAAAACTATTACATCATGGTGTTTCTCATTTCCACACTTTGTCATTTTTAGGTGTGGAACATAGTAATTTCCATAGCATGAAACTAATATGTTATTCAAAATTTTTAGTCAAGTATAAAATTATTTGTACACCAGGTATGTATTTTAGGGTTTCAACTTTCAATCGAATCTTTATTAATTTCAAATATATATATAAATAGTCCAAGACATTTCTCATTCACACTAATATAATTAAATATGTTTAACTTTCTAACTATGTACCCCAACACAATAACAAAAAAATTATAAAATTTGATATACACTTTATTTTATTTTATTTTGGGTGCCTCAAGACTTAAAAGAGATAGTTTACCAAGAAGGAAAAAAAAAATGCTAATATAGGTCAAGTGGAGTGGCAATATGGTGGATTTTAAGGAGATGAGTGCCATTTTAATAAAACAGGCGGCCAACGCAGCTCTCGTGGCTGGTTTTATATATATATATATATATATATATTGCGAACCATTTTATTATGGAGAGAGAAAATTACTAGTAGTTATATAAATAATTGGTGAGTGGGAAGAGACAGAAGACAACAATGGCAAATTCTCGTAGTTTCCACCTCATCTCTTCCTTGTTGATCGTCACGGCTCTGATCATCTCATCAAGGTCGTCCACCGCCGAGGCCGGCGGCGACCACCACCAGTTCAGCTGGATGCCGGCGAAACCCGCCTGCCAGGGTTCGATAGCCGAATGCATGGCCGTCGACGGGGGAGAGTTCGACATGGAGTCGGAGGTCAGCCGGCGCATATTAGCAACGACCGAGTACATAAGCTACGGAGCGCTGCAGAGGAACAGCGTTCCGTGCTCTCAGAGGGGTGCGTCCTACTACAACTGCCAACCAGGTGGTCAAGCTAACCCTTACACTCGTGGCTGTAGTACCATCACTCGTTGCCGGAGTTGAGCTTCTCCGTCTCTTTTTCTATTTCCATTTCATTATATATGTATAATGCCAATATATATATATATGTATGTATGTATATGTATTATACGACTATGTGATAAGAATAATTTTGATTTTAAGTTATGGTTCCACTTCATACAATATAATAATGTTATGTCGGAAGCACGGGATTGGTGGTTTGAATTTGAGATTTATCTCAATTCTATGGACCAATTCGGTGCCGCTAGTAAAGTTTTTACCTTGGCTTTTGTTGATATTATTGTTTTTGACTTGAATTCTTCTACTATTTATAATCCGATGTTGGTTTAATACTTGCATCTGATTCATCTCTTTCATTTTTGCGTATTTAAAATTGATATATTGATGGATTCACGTGGATTAAAAATTGGGTTGGAGGCTAGAACGGATGCAAATTTGAGAGAATTTGTTATTCTTTCTTCTTGTTTGGAATGAATAAAATTAATAATGATATTTGGTTTGATAGAATTTCAAAATGTAGTGTTTTGTAATTTCATGAAAAATTAATAGATTTTATTAGTTCAGAATTTTTTCAGTTAATTCAAACCAAACAAACGAAATTTCATTTCAAATCTAATTCAATTACCTTTCAATTGTGTGAGCACTAAGAAACAAACGATTTCATACCAGAATAATTTTAAGTAAATTAACTACAATGGTTAGTTCTCCTCTCATTAATCTAAGTTATTGATATTAATCAGTTGATCTTATAATTCATACCAGAATAAAGATTTTTTTTTTGGGTGCAATTCTTTACCCTTCTTTTATGGGATAGAATTTTTTGTAATAATAATAAACATTTAATTTTTTATAAAAAAATTAGTTAATACTTTAAATTACTTTTAATGTTAAATCCAAATCATCTGTTAAGTACTCCATAAAAAGAGAATAAAAATACGAAAAGGGGCAAGATTCAACCACTATATTCTTGGACAGAGAGCTTTACACACCCAACCTTATAATATTGGCTTATAGGAAGTTTTCCTGATCTTTTCATGTCATAGCTCACGACTCACAAGTTTGGGGACGCATCACATATAAAGAAGACAGAAATTCACTTTGAAAAAAAGGTCTTCGGAACTACAAATGAAAATTAATTAATCATAGTACTCTTTTTGACCCGGAAAGAAGCTTCCTCACAAATTAAATACACATCTATGCACACAGTACACACACTTTGTGGGGAATGAAATGGTTGCCAGCTGCTGATCCATGAATGTGTATAGAAGGAAGAATTTAATATTAAAACCATGGTCAAAAACATTGCAAACTCCCATCTTCATGAAAAATAATTATCCTCAACGGCTAAATTTAATGATCTAGATTGAAGTATGTAACACGGTATTTGTTATACACAATTGCTTAAACGATAATTTTTTATTGATCATATTTACATAATACAAAGAGTAATAGAGCAAACTACTGTAGGTTTCAGAACTTTTCAACCCAAATGATGTAGATTAAAGTTTGTTTGGCAACCTGACATTACTCTTAGGATTGAGTACACCTGCACCTCTAATTGATCATTGTGCCATGAAACTTGGTCACGTCTAAATTATTAGAGAGAGTAAAGGAGAGGTCACAAGTCTATTGTTATTAATGCTTGAGTTTAAACAAACTCGACCCCATATAGTCTTGTTTCAATTATTTTTGAGATCAATTACATGAATCATGTTCTGTTATTGTGCTTTCATATTTATTGGAATATTTCCATAATGCAAAAGGCTTGCCATTTGTTGAAGAAGGTTTTGCACCTGGAATGACAAGGCCAAAGAATTAAACAAACTAAAACAGAACAAAGATTTCTGCACCTTTAAATCCATGTGCCATAGCTGTTATTACGAGAGCCCTCTCATGCTCAATTCTCCCATCGTATCAAAGAATTAAATGATTTACTAAATGACTAGTTTTATTTTTTTTATATCTTAAAAAAATTGTCTCAATTATATGATTAAACAAAAAGAGCTCATGACTCTTGTCATGAGAAAACGCTCATAATAGCATTACTCAATTACTTAATTAAATCGATAAAGCACATTCCTCGTTAGAGGATTATCATTAATACACACTTTTCACCAGACACGATTTTACCACAAAAATCTTCTATTGCAAGTTTACACCAAAAACAAAAACAAAAAAAAATCTTAACAACAAACAACTAAAATTGTCCTCATAGCTATAAGACAAGTAGACAACCGATCATCAATTTCAAGAAGTTTATATACTTTGAGAGAAGTATATGGATTACTCCAATAAAAATGGATGATCCAACTATCCATCTCCTACCTCTGGAGTCGTAGCCAATTGATTACATCACATGATCGATCATAGTTATTACAAGTTACAACAAATATCAATTACAAGACAATTTCTACAATGTTCAAATTATATGCCATACAATCATATTTTTTATTTTCATACGTTAAAAGGGAGTTGTGAATTGCATTTACAAAAGTAAACTCTCTCTAAACACACAAGTGTGTGTCTACCTCACTTTAAGCCAATACATGCTTAAGTCAAGGATTAGAATTCGTCTAATAAAATTCTTGGGGACGAGGAACATTAATGTGGCCTTTGTTTCTTAATAAATTCTTCAAAAGGGTTCACCTCATATTAGAAAACATTAATGTGGCCTTTGTTAGACAACATTTCTGCCAATTGTTCACAGAATCAAGTACCAACTCTTAATTCTTTCTCTTACTTACTGTTACAGACTATTTATGTCTAAAGTAAAGCTTCAGCAGTATGTCACGCCTGTCAAAAAATTTGACAAAGGTAAACAACTAGGTTTCAGAGTTTTCCACAATTGTGTGGAGTGTTGGAGAGTTTTAAAATGTGGTAGTGGTCTCTGTAGTAGAGAATGTTTTAGGGGAGTAGAATGGTTTAGAGTAGTGAAGAGTGGTGCAAGAAAATCTAGAGAGTTGTGTAGGGAATAAAATTTTAGAGAATTAATTTCCGTTAGATTGTAATAGATACTAACCATTCATTAGGAAGATGATCTCTATAAATAGACAGGAGTGTCATTTGTAAACCAACACCTCATAGGGTGAGTGTAGAGAGCTAAGCAAATAGTATGAGAAACTAGATTGGTACAAATTGAGATTTCCAACCTTTATGCCATCAGACCAATATATAAATTGACGTACAGTTATCCATTCTCAATACCTAAATGTTAGTACTCTTGACAGTTTGAGAGACAAATTTAGGAAAAAATTATATTCATTAGTCTGAATCGTCTAACAATTTGTGCCGACATTGTATCATTTTATATATATATATATATGGCATAGTTGAATGGCCACTAATTTTTTGTGCCAAAAAAACCCTCCAATTATCGAGGGATAACATAGTGGATGGAAAATGTTTTTGGGATGAAAATTCCCATATTCCTATAGTAAAAATTGCGCAAAACCCCTTTATATTTTGAATTTTTGACAAGAAACCTCTTTAAACAAAAACAAAATCACATAAAACCCTTTAACTATCCAATTTGTTGCAAAGTGATGTTATAAGGACTAAAGGGACACTTAATATAAATTTAATAAAATGATGCTCCTTAATATTAAATTAAAATGAATACAAACTCATTTTGCATATTGTTATTAAAATTTTAATCTTTTTTTAAAATGGTGAGTCTATAAGAAAATAAAAATACCTTGAAATAATTTTCAAATTTTTCTTAAATTTTTATTTTAAAAACTAAAAAAAAAAAAAATACATTTTTTTAGCTTTTCTTTTCTTTTTTATTTTTTTTAAAATAAAAATACCTTGAAACAATTTTTAAAATATTCTTAAATTTTTATTTTAAAAAAAAAAAAAAAATACCTTTATTTAGCTTTTCTTTTCTTTTTATGATTTAAAATGAAAATACCTTGAACCAATTTTCAAAATTTTTATTTTTATTTAGCTTCTCTCTTCTTTTTATTTTTAAAAATAAAAATTTAAGAAAATTTTGAAAATTGTTTCAAGGTGTTTTTATTTTCTTATAGACCCACCATTTAAAAATAATAATTAATTTTTTTGTAGCAACACATGCCAAATGAGTTTGTATTAATTTTAATTTAATATTAAGAAACACCATTTTATTAAATTTATATTAAATGACATTTTAGTCATTATAACATCACTTTGCAACAAATTGAATAGTTAGGGGAGTTTTGTGTGCATTTGTTTATTCACGGGAGTTAGGGGGATTTAATGCAAGTTGTTCTATATAATAGGAATAAGGAGTTTTTGAAAAAAAAAAAAAAAATAGTATTTATTGCAAAACACAAATAATTAAGGGGTTTATTGCACTTTGCCCATATATATATATATATATTGAAACGCTTGAACACTTTGTTTGAACCCTTCTTTGTACCCGCTACTTTGATTTGATGATGTATGAGAAAATAGTATTAGATGGTTACAAATAATTTCCAAATGAAAAAAAGAAAAAAAAAACTTTATGCAAGTACTTGCAGACTTCTAGATTAACAAAGTTACGATCATATAAGATTAGATTGAGATCTAATAGCAGTACCAACGGCCAGTGTGTGTGAGAGTATCAACTAGGACAAAAACAAAATAGCTACATTCCCGAGTCACAAATGTACCATTAGATAATTTTATATTCATTACTAAAAAAATACTCCATACAGCCAGATGAATCTCAGGCCCTTTTAGTCTCTTCGGTAATTTTCTTTTTTTCTTTTCCTTTTTTTTTTTTGTTCTTTTTCTTCTTCTTTTTTCAACTTGGATTTGCTGAACATATTCTCCTGCATTTCAAGAAAAGATAATATATGTAATGAATAGAAAATCAAAGCCTGAAAATGCTCTCTTATCTCAAATGCAGCACGAACCCTTGATAATTAGAATAATTTCATAATTTTCAGTCAATAACACCTCTTCTCCTTTCCAAATCCAACCTGATACATGTACAAAGAAAAAAAAAATTTGTCCGGGCCTACGAGGGCTCAACTGTCAACCAACAAATTACAAATTCAAAAAGGAATTGTGTTTTAAATTCTTTGATTGGTAAAGGAAAAAATTAAATACTGAATGACAATATTCATTTGTCCTTGTTTTTGGTTACTGATTTGTCATTGACGTAGGGATCTTCAGCTGGGGCAATCCAGAGACCATACAATATAAGAAAGTGGATACAAAAGAGCAGGACAGATGAATAGGCATTCGAGGGATAGACATTCCAACAAAACTCCACCCCTACAAACAAAACCAAACTGCACAGAAAAATGATCAATCAATAATACTCTTGGTGGATCCGCTTGCATGGCAAAGCAAAAACAGTTTGATGCTTGAGCAACCTACCGCAGCAATGTAGGAAAAGGGGTTCTCCACAGAAGATATGGCAAGCTATAGAAATACCTGCACACCAAAACTCTTTAAATTTGCCATTTTTTTTTTCCAATGGTGAATATCCAAATCTCACCAATAATTGACTAAAATGTTAAAACCATATCCACAAGCACACATTCACAAACTCTTATTATTGTAGTAGTTGAATCCTTATCATGCAATATCATTTAACTAGAATTTGTTTGGAAATGATCGGCACAAACAAGAAAAATAGTCACTACAGATATCAGGTAAGTGAATAAGCAGTATGGCAAGACAAACTTTCTAACACCAAGTTGACATTTCTAATGAGATAGCTCAAGAATCAAAATTTTCAACGGAAGGAATGGCACAAAATCCAGAATAACACAAACTCAACAAGAGCACCATGTAAGCTGAAGATAAAGGAATATAACTCCAGTTCACATATAAAACCTAAAAACAAAATCTTAGCATTTATATTAGCCGAGATTAAAGGAATGAGTATATACAAGTCCAGGCTACGGCATCAAAAGCAGGCTCAGCAAAATTTCAAATGGATATGTGCTATCATCTTGGTATAGCTTGCAACCTCAAATCTACAGAACAGATCTAAGCCGTGGGCACAAGGACTATAGATATTATTAGAAGTGACTTAATACTAAAGTTTTTGTAAGGACTAAACAAAAAAAATCATCATCCCAAACATGGAAGGCATTTCTACTTTAAACATGTCGATCAGATAATAAAGGTATGCAAACCTTGTGGCAGAAGGCATTTCTATTTTAATATCAAACCTCTGACACCTAAAAGCATTTGTACAGCAAAACTTACCACGAATAAAATTGATAATGCAGTGACCGTGCGCATACAATGCCAATGAAGTTCCCAACAAACATAGTAGTTAAAATATCTGTATCCATCATGAGCACAAATTTAGTGTCCAATCCACAAAAATATGAAACACAAAACAATCTTTGAACTTAAACAGTAATCAAAGGAAATGGGCTGTAAATAATTAGAGAAAGAGGATTCATTACTTACGCTGTTTCTTTAAAATCTTGAAGGGTGAGCTACAAACAAATTGCTCAAGAGAGAAGAAATTTGCGACACTGAGTTTCTTTTGGACTAATCTAGAATGCAAGAAATTGAGAAGTCCACCTTCATACCTGCAAGAATAGACCTGATAGAGTATAAAACTACACTTAAATCCACAAGCCCACTGATATGAGTGCATTTAGTATAATGGGCAGACTTCAAATCGTTGGAAATGTTCCTTCCACATGCCAACCTCCTCATCAAACCAAACATATAAATATGTGATTGCCTCTAGAAGGCAGAGAGACTGTCAATGCCCAATATGACTCCACACAACTAGATTCATCTTATCTAGAGAAACAATACCATTATTGGAAGGAATTCAGATATTATTACAATTGTCTGATATGCAATATTATTTCTATATGACTGCATAATCTTTAGCCTTTCTCGATATATAAGAGAGTATTTTCTTAAACCTTAATGTCTCCTAATTGCAACTTCCTTTCATTCAATATTAACAACAAATGAAAATGGATCTTCTACTCACTTGCACCATCTATAATGAGCAAAAGCTGTCAGTAGGATCAGATGAGTGATCAGCAAAGAGAGCGCAAATTCCCTTGATACAAAAACTGGTTCAGGAACAAATTTGAAGTTAACAGACCTGATACAATAGAATGGAAATCAGTTTCAATCAATCAGACTCGGAGCAAAAACATGACACAAAATATACACAAGTAATATACCATAAATGAAGGCTGAAGAATGGTTGCATGTTCAAACAATCATAAGAAATGATAATGAAACTGAGGGTACTTTGAGAAGTGGGACAAGATTATGTACAATGAACAACTTTGACTGCAAAATTTGTACACAATACTTTACTGGTTATTAAGCTCAGTAATTCAATGTGATCCTTAAGAACAGGTAATAAAAGATTCCTGCTACTCCATTATAAATCTTTTTCCCTAGGAAAGGACCATGTAAATTAACAGAAGACAAAGCATCCACCTCTTGTTAATTCTATAATTTTTGCAATTCAATGATTTAATGTGTTGGGTGAGGCCAGGCAAGAAATAGTGTAAATTCTGATGGATGAGTTCTCATGGCTAACAGCGTAAATTCTGATGCCCATTTGGAGCACGTATAGTTTAGAAATCCTAACAACAACCAATCAGCCTGCAGAAATACTTCTATACAATACAATCTTAAGCTCTAAGCACAATATACAACTGCAACCCAGTGTCATGGTGTTGCAAGTTTGCAAATAATGTGCAAGGTCGCTAGCCCTTATTTTATGGGTTGTATATCCCCTTAGATACAATTTACGAGTGATTTCAACAGTCGTGTCAGAAAATTGTACAGCAAACTGGTCTCGTGGTCTCCAAATAAACTGCATATTTAACTTCAATAGATACTAAAATACTTCCTTTCAGACACCCTGAATCTGCCTTTCTCTACCAAATTTATTAGGTAAATGAATGGCACATCCAAAGGTGTAATTAAATTTATGGTAAAGTACAGCCACCCCCCCTGAGGTTTGGCAAAAGAACACACAGATGAAAGCTATTCATTTTTTGGACAATGACACCCCTTTACTGAAATTCCATCCAAACAAGGCCTTAAATCATATGAAAAGACAAAATTAACCCTCAATATTAAATTCAGATATATTACAAAATATCAGCCATTGCAAAATGACACAATAGCCCCTTATTCATTTTTTCTCTTCTTCTCTTCCTATCACACCATCCTCTCTCTCTCTCTATCTGCTAACACACACACACACACACACACATATATATATATTATACACATTACAACACCACAAGCAACACCGGTGGGGCAGGCGCAGGGGTCGTCGGCTGCCGCCGCCACCACACCTCAGCCTCTCCGGCGTCGGTGTCAGAAGATCAGCTGCAGTTTTGCCATCGTCTTGGAACGAGTTGTGGTCACTGAGTTGGATAGAGAGCGAGGAGTGAACGAGTTGACTCAGCCGGAACTATTAGCAGACTCCGATCGGATCTCTTGAAGAGAGAGAACGGAAAAGGGAGAGATGAGAGAGAGAGGGGTTGAGAATGGGTTGTGGATGAGAGAGAAAGGGGGTGTGTACATGTATATGTATCAATCTTTGAAAAATCTGGGTCGGATTCGAAGGATGAAGGCTCTATGGGTCGACGGAATCGAAGGATGAAGGCCGCGGATCCATTCACCATCACCGCCTATATATACATATATGTGTGTGTGTGTGTGTGTGTGTCTGTTTGTGTTGGGGCGGAGAAAGAGAGAACAGAGAGGAGAGAAGGTGAGAACAGTGACTTCGATCCGATGATGTTCCATGGCGGCATGCGACGTCATCACCACCACCACCATGATGATGGGCTCAAGCACCACCACATGAGAATGATGATGAGGCGGTGTTGGCGGCAGCTGAGGGGTTCTTTACACACAGCGTCGGGCGGCGATTATGTACATATACATACAGAGAGAAAGGTTTGGGTTTGGGTTTGATCCAAGGGTATTTAAGTCAATTAAAATATCAATTTTATATCAAAGGGTAATAAAGTCAATTCACCATTGTTAGGGTCCCTTTGTACATTTTTCAAAGTTAAAGGGGTGTCATTGTCCAAAAAATGGGTAACTTTCATCTGTGTGTCCTTTTGCCAAACCTCAGGGGGTGTGACCAGTAGAGGCTGACATCAGCGAAGTTTTAATGAACCAATAGATCAGCTTTTCAGTAGATAGTAGGTAGCCTTAGTTGTTGCTTTTGTATCTACAGCTGTAAATTATTGCTGCAGCGTCAGTAGCAGCTTCTTTTTAATTGGATTTTGTTTTGTGGTGTCACTAGTGCATTTATTTGGAGATATATGTATGTATGTATATTGTTTTGTGTGTGTGTTGTTGTTGTTTTGCGCCGGGGGGGGGGGGGGGCGGTGGTGTGGGGGTTCTAACATCCCAAACTGGCTATTTTGATCCATTAGTTAATGATCTGATACAATCCTCCCAAGTGGATAAATGTTGACAGGAATTGAAATTTCAACAAGAAAAAGGAAGTACCAAAAGTGGATGAAGACGCGTCCAAGATTGAAGGCTCCTGATATATATGCAACTGGATGTGTTAACATAAAAGGCAGCCCAAGCAGAATCTGCAGAAACATTCACAAGGTAGGTGATGGAAATAGATGGACATCTCAATCAGATAATGCCTTCCATCACTCATCTAATATAGTTCCAGTCCAACTCACCTAAAACATTGATAAAGAGGAAAGATATCTAAATATACTACATTATATCTGCTAAGCATCGCATGAAGCAAAAATAAATAAAATATTAATGCTATGTTTGGTTGGAGGGAAGGATTAAGGAGGGATGGATGAGGCTTTTCGTGTTTGGTTGGAGGGAAGGGAAGAGAGGGAGGAAGCAAGGATGGATGATCCCTCCTTTCTTCATGTTTTTCAATCCGCCCAATTTTGGGGGAAGGGAGGAGAGAGAAAATCAATAGCTACCTACAATATGCAATTTCCAATTTTAACCTTTTCAAAAAAATTCAAATGGATATCTACTTTTTATTATTTTATACAATGAGGATATATTGGTAAAAATATATAAAAAAATCTCTTTCCCTTCCTTCCAACCAAACAAAAAAAAGTATCACCCGTCCATCCTGTCTACTATCCATTCCATTCAACCAAACCAAAAATGGAGGAGACACCTTCCGTTCCGTAGGGATTCCTCATCCATCCATACCCCTATATCTTCCACCCATTTTTCCATCCCTCCAACCAAACGAAGCATAAAGGTTGGAGTTGCAAGCAAATTTGTTCAAGAGAAGCCACGTCTCTATGCATAAATGAATTTTGTAAGGAAATCCAAGTAGCAAGGGACTAAAGTTTGCTTGTTTAGATTGTAAACTTAAGATCTCAATACAAACATTTGTGCATTTGATGCAAAACAAGTATATATAAAACGAAAGTGAAAAAAATAAGCACCTGTACTAATGCTGCACCTGTTAAAGCAGAAATCACCCCAGCGATATCCATTGCCTGTAGCGTGAGTGTCTCAGTAACAGCAGTGAAAGGTTGATTCACTAATTTATGCTATGAGCAAATACAAACTTTGAAAAAATATAGACATATATGATCAATATATACCTTGAACATAAGAAGTAGTAGAGGTGGGGCATAAAGGAGCACATTCATCTTAACTGAAACGGCTCCACTGTAGTAATAACAAGAAGGGTAGAGTCAAATCAACTCCAATTGTGCATCAAAATTGTTCAAAAAGAGAATTAAACACTTGCCTGAAAATAATCAAACCCAGATGCCATTTTTGGTAAATAAATAATGCCAGAGCAGCATGGAGAAGGGTCATGGCAAAACAGTCATTAAAAAGACGAAGTACAAAGATAGAATGCACTCTTTTTGACAGACAAAGCAAGGAAAGAGCCCACCATGGAAGCTGCAAAACAGTTTAATACTGGTGAGAAGTACAGTAGAACAGATCATTATATACCAAACAACTAAATATGTATAAGGAATTGTGCATGTGCATGAGAGAGGAAGCGAGGGAGAGAGGAGGAGGAAGTGTATATGTGTTGGTGTTGGGGCAAGGTTATAATGCATGCATACTTGAGGAAAGCAACTAGAAGTGCCAAAAGCCAACACACAAGGGACTATATTATATCATTCGAATGACATACAGAAAAAAAAAAAAAATACAGGTTTTTTCAAAAAGTATCAACTTTCAGAGTTCAGAAAATGGTCAAACATCCAATCTTGTGCCTAATCACTTTCACAATTATTTTCAGAGAAGACAAGGAGTTAGTAACTGACAGACATCTAAACTTTGGATTATAGAGCCACAAAGATGCATATCCAAGCAATTCAGCATTGCCACTGGAGGAGTTAAAATCCACTATTTGATACCTACCATGGCCTATCTCGAGCATGCAGTAAGTGCATCATGTACCAACACAACAAAAGTGCATTCTCAAACTTGAAATAATCTCATTGACAAATTGGTAAATATAATTGTGTAAACAAAAACTGCTTGCATCAATATTTGAACATTTTTTACATGGATTTGTAGTGTACAATGCCGCAACTATCCACATAGTGATGCACAAGTTGCGTTAGTATAATGATTTTACACGACATTTGGTTAGAATAGTGTTCATGCTCTCACTTCTTTTAGTGGGCTTCATGCAGAGTGAGAATGCTAATGCTAAAGGCCAGTCCATTACTCTAAGTTCAAAACTTTGAGCCATTTATTGTCAGCATGATCAAGCCTCCTAATCATCGCAGACAATTCAATTCAAATTCCAATTGCATGTCCAGGATACTCAACCCCAAAAAAGAAAAAGAAAAAAATGCATATCCAAGACAATCAAGATATGGTAATTCTTGTAAATATCAGAATTACTTTCAAATCAATAACATTACTCCCTTCTCTCCTAGCCTAGAAATAATTGGAAGTTTATATACAGATCTCGAGTATTAAAAAAAATTAAAAAGAAAACCCTTCAACCAGGTCTCACAATGAAATCTTCATATACAAGATGTACTCAATCCTTGAATCGGAACTCAAAATTTCTGTTATCACTTATCAGAAATGGCTCCAAGTTGTTTTAGAACTAATAAAGAGAAGTAATATTCACACTCCACTTTTACATTTGAACTCCCCGTTTTGATTCTTTTTAATAAAGGAAATGACACAACTTACCCCTCAGAAACGTAAGAGTACCTTCTGAATTTTAAGATAATTGTGAGTGTGCGTGTACTTTGAAGGACAACTATGTCATTTAGTAGACTCCAAGAGTATAAAAGTGGAGTGTAAATATCATTTCCCTTGAGAAATTCAATTTAAAGTGACAGTCTAATAATAGTAGATATAAAATACTTCTTAACATGGTGCATGATTCACATATATCTGGATCCATTAGTATATAATTTTAAAATATCAGTTAACACTGAGCCAAAAAAGGTCAAAGAGGTGATAATTTCAATGTTGAATTTCCATTAGCTTTCTGAAGAGCTGTATCTTGCCAAGTACTGACAACCAAAGTTACCAACTAGAGTAGAATGATAAAAAAGACAAATCAGATTCAGAAGCAAGCCATGTTAACAGTAAATAAATTTTTACAATTTAATCCCCCATCATACTGTCATCAACTTTTGCAAAAGAGATACGCTAGTCTATTTCCAAATCTTAACTGCACACACATACAAAAACAAGAGACTTTAGACCCTTCAGTTTAAGTTCCCAGACCAACAGACTTACTAAACACATTGCATTGCATGTGACTAGGGCATATTCATCCTTAGTTCTCATCCTAGATAATCAGAAACTTCATGCAGATATTAATTGGATAAGCACAAACAAGCTTTATTATTAGAGTCACAATACTGAATAAAACAAATTATTTAATTGTCCAACCGAACTGAATCAAATATGATCTGCTGCATACACATTCTTAAATCTAAACTGATTTGATAGTCTATGATACTACATAATTTTATAACATTATCTTTTCAAAAATATGAATGGTTAGTCTAAGAATGCTATATAAAATATTTTAATTGAACTCAGATCTTAATCAAATTCAATCTAACTAAATTAAAATAATTCGATTATAATGCATAATTCGATTTTAGATTCGATCTGCCAGATACAATTCAATTCTATAGCTGGATCTTAATCAGATCAAATTATGGCCAGGTTCTGATCTCATATAACCCATCGACATTCCTGATTTCCTGACTTCTGCTAGCATTTCATAAGACCCTGAACAAGTCAGGTTGGAGTCATTATTCGGGTTTCTAATCAGAACAGCAGACGGATTTGACCACTAAGACTCTAAAAAATAATTTAAACAGGTGCCTGACAAGGTAAAAGGAGCACTTAATAAAAAAATATGGGAAGTTTCATACCATATCCACCTTTACATAGATGAATAAGATGCTTCCGAGATTTACAATGTAAAGAACACCAAAAAGAACCTGCACTGACATGAAAGAGTAAAACCCATAAGTATGTAAATTGTGTGTGAAACAATAAGAGGAGACAGATCACAATCCATCATTTGCAACGAAAATGGTACACGTAAAGAATCATAAGAAAAAAAAAAAAAAAGCAATGACACAAAATTGCCATTAACACTAATCCGCCTAAGGTATTGATGTTAAAAAAATCCACCTACTCACCATTCTTCCTTTCCATTGCATCTTTTGCTTTTACATACATGTGTGTATATATATATATATTAACATCTTCCAAAACTTATACCAACCAGAAACACTTTCTTACATTACAATTACTGATTTTCTATTTCAGTAATAAGGTCCAAATATACATTAACAAAATAATTGCATTTCACCACTATTGTTGTCTCCAACACTGTCTGATGGCTACAACCAGAAGTAAACCAAAGTAAGCACAGATCAACACCAAAACTTTGCTAAAAACTTTTCTGTGAGCAAACTTTTGCAATATTCAACAAACTGAATATAATTTAAAAGCTATGGAGCTTGGAAACAAGTTCAGAGGAGGAACAAATAGAGAAATAATGATCTAAATTTTTATTTTGTATAAGTTATACCCAAAATTTTACGTCACAGCATATCTAAATTTCTCAGCTTTACTAGTCCCAAATTTAAATTACTTGGGTGTAAAGTAACTTCACACCAGTGGTTGTCATAAATTACTAATTGGTAAATTAACCCTCAAGTAACTTTATTTTTTTATAAATAACTTTGATGTGGTAATTGCCTGGACCTTAAATTAAATCCATGTTAATAAAGCTGGATTTGACAAATTTCCTCCAAATCCTAGTAAAATTCAAGAAATATAATAATAATAAAAATAAAAATAAAAATAAAAACTGATTGAAAAGAAACTGATGTCTTAAAAAAAATACGGTTGACCTTTTGTAAGCCATTATACAATATACAATCAATCCCCTGTATATATGAAAACTTGATCATCTGGCTTTAGAACACAAACATTGATCTCCTACGTTGATGGCATCAATAGTTGATGCAAGTATGACGATCCTATGCAGAATAATTACTTCATTTTTCTTTTCACTTGAATAAGTATTTAAGAAAAGGAAATGAAAGGAGAAAATTCCAAACAGTAAATAAATTACTCATCTAAAAGCCAAATTAGAAAACCAGTTAATTTTTAAAAAATAAAATGAAGAAAGGTTAGCTTCAAATAAATTGTCTAGTTGAGTACCAAAAAAAATAATCTGATCTGGAATTCTGTATAAAGGAAGATCAAAATCTTTGTCTCTTGGAAAAATAAATGTTTAGAGATTCACAGTAACATAAAAAAAACAAGGAAAAGAAGCAAAAATTGTATGTTATAACACTAAAACACTTAAAAGAGATTTGGTAGTTTAGCATGGATTGGGGGAGGGGAGGGGAGGGGAGGGGAGGATGACAATAAAATTTTGTCAAGCTATCAAATTGAACAAATTACTGTCAAACTGCAAATTGTCTGCTTTTCTTTATATTCTTTTTTGATAAGTAAATATATAGCAACAAAAACTGCTTTTCTTTATATTCACATAGATTCATTAACAATTTAAGATTCCATGCAATGTGACAATAATTTGTTCAAAACAAACCATAAGTTTTAAAATTGTGAATCCTATGGTTTTAAAAACTACTATTACAGCAATTGAAATCGAAACAGCCACTAACTGTAACCACACAATAAAATTTGGAAGGCAAATTATCCAACATTTTGATGCAAGGCACGTCCAGAAATGAGAAAACTAAAAGAAACAATGCAGAAATGGGTTTAATGTTATTGTACTACTAGTACCCTTATTTTGGCATCTTTATACCACTAGGGACTTATTCATACTTTTCCAGATATACATGACTTTTTCAGCAATATTTCTAAGATAAATTGGTCTGCTGAAAGAATCAGCGTTAATTCAAGAAATACTCAAAAAAGTTGTCAATCTTAGTTTCCTCTTCAAATTTCTGGCAAGAAACCATTAACAATGCATAAAGAAAAAATTGGAACACTCTTATTTGCGGCTTAACGGCTTCAAATTTCTGGCAATAAACCATTAACAATGAAATAAATCACCTAAGCATGAAATAAATCACCTGAGCAGGGTAGACCTGTCCTCCTGTAACATACTGTATGGCAGAATATATATACAAGAATCCAGCAGGGTAGACGAGTGGCCCTGTGTCGCCTTTCAAGTTCGAGTAATCTCTCTCTCCTTCAAGAAACCCAGTAACCTGATTGTTAATCAATATAGATTTAAATAAAACCAGATAATAATAACAAATAATTACAATAAAAAGGGAAGCAAAATTTATTTATGCCTAGGGTTTTAGAAAAGCACACACTAACCTGTGACATGTAAGCGTCCCAATCGATCTTTGTATCTGTAGCAATACCGTAAATAAATAAATATCACAACAAAAACACATCTATGGGGAGAGAATAAAAATTGAAGACATCAATCTTACAAGGAACGAAGTGGATGATGAGAGCGACGAGGAGAGCATCGATGAAGAGCAAAGCGAAAGCGAAGGTTACTACTTTTGGATCTTTGCGAAGTTTGTGATTCGAAGTCTCTGGTCTCTGAATGTTTCCATCTTCGGCCGCTGATTGGACTGCCATTATGGTTTCTTTCTTGCTTGGATCGTCTCTTTCGTTCGCCGGAGGTCCAACTTAAGTACTACTACTATTATTATTATTATTATTGCGCGTGCTTCTCACGCCACATCTTCTAAGAAACTATATTAGCATTTTTTTTTAGGATAAAGTGCATTAAACCCTGAACTATTGGGGCATGTGTAAGAAACCCCCTAAATTATAAAAGTTACAAAAAATCCTCCTGAATTATTGGGGTATGTGCAAAAAACCTTCTTGAACTATAAAAGTTGCAAAAAAACCCCCTTAAACTATTGGGGTATGTGCAAAAAACCCCCCTATATATTTTTTTGCATCTTACCCCATTCGCGCGAATTAATTGACTAAAAGGGACGATGAAGTCGAGGAATCTGTTGCTGGGATTAGTGGGTCTCCTATCATAGCTCTATCATAGCTATTACACCACTCACTTCCGTTGGCCATATATATCGCACTTCTCTACGTCTTGCGTCAGCCCATCGCTGCCACCGCCTTGCCCGTCGTTCAACTCACCTTGCTCGCCGGTCCATTCCACAGTCATTCCAAGCTCGCCGGCCCATTCTGCCATCTCCATAGCCCAGCACACCGCAGTCCGTGTTTCGAGCACACAGCCGTCCACAGTTCACCGCCGAGCCCCCTTGAGCTCGCTACCGCCTCCACAGTTCACGGTCGAGTCAAACCGAGCTCTCATCACAGCCGAGTCCTCCGTGCACAAGCCGCCATCATCCGAGACCGAGCCATCCTGCCGACCTCGGATTTCTTTGGTCTCTTCTCTCTCTCTAGCTCTCTGTTTTGGGTTGTGTTGGGTGAAAACATCTTATGGTAGGAAAAATATATATATATAAGAAGTGTATAAGTTAAAACGACGCAGTGTGTTATAAGGGCAAACTGGTCTTTCAAAAATTTTCGGTGCCGGAAGCTGATGTCATGGGGGTAAATTGCAACAAAATCATACTTAGGGGAGTAAATTGCAACAAAATCATAGTTCAGGGGGGTAAATTACAACAAATTTATAGTTCATGGAGGTAAATTGCAACAAAATCATAGTTCAGGGAGGTTTTTTTGTAATTCAGGGGGTTTCTTGCAAATGACCAATAGTTCAAGGGGGTCAATTGCAACAAAATCATAGTTCAGGGAGGTTTTTTGTAGTTCAAGAGAGTTTCTTGCAAATGACTAATAGTTTAAGGGGGGTTTAATGCACTTTACCCTTTTTTTTAATCTCATTTTTCACATTCTTTTTCAAGGGAACAACAAAAGGACTTTATAAGTAAAATCCTAAGTCGTAACTTTTGCCTTCTACTTTGACAGGAAATTGTGTTTATAGACTATTGATGCTGCAAAAAAACACTTATACGTACAATATTAAAAACTTGTAAATAAAAACATGTGAATAAATTACAAATATAATGTTTCACTATATTAATGATTATATGCACATTATTCATATTAGGAATAAAGGGGGTTATAAGCATTGTTATATTGGAGGAGTTTGGCCATGATGGTGTAAATTGGAATTATTATTTTTGGATGGTGTTATTTGCACAAATCATAATACATGGATACAATGTGCACTATTTATATTTTTTTAAGGAATTTTTTTTACTCTTTAGTATTTCATTTATTAGAAAGTTAAAGTAGAGCATAACTTATAAGAGAACAAAAGTGAAGATGAGATATTGACATTCCTACTAATTTATAAGAATATTTTCCTATTCTGATATTAGGAGACCAGATTGAAGGTTGGATTTCATGAAGAAGATAGTTTTTAAATAATAAAAAAGTTTGAACTTTAAGAGCTCTAATGGATTTAACTAATTTTTTTTTTTTTTTTTTCTTTTTTTGGAAAAGAAGTAATATCACTCATTATAATATTAACTTTTATCCCGCTATATTTTCAATTTTGAATCCTATTATTGCATCTAATCAGTTGAGAACGTCGGATGTTCTTCTGTAATCAATAACAACGATACCACTATGTAAAGTTTAGTGTTACACCCGTCCTGGCTCTTAACTATGAAAATTTTTGTATGTATCAGGACGCACAGCTAGCCAATATGATGATCTCCCACATCATATATTAAAACACAGTTCATTTAATTCAATTTCCGCAGCCAAATTAAAATCAAATATGGGGATCACGCAATCTCTGCCTCCAATTTGGGGGGAGTTTGGTCACTGCTCTGTTGCATGCCATCATTGCACTCTCCATCCAAATTGGCACATACTGCAACACACACATGACAGGTAGACAGAAACACTGCCAACACGAATTTGCAATGTAATAACACTATTCAGTCAAGCAAAGCTTCCTCAGCGTTATAGAAGTTCTCCTTTTCTGATCAATATCCTGTCCTTCCCATTTCTGAAATTCTTGCTTGCGATTTATTTCATGCTTCCAGAGGTACCGAGCTTCTCCCCACATTAAGACAAGAGAACCCGGGGTCAAATATACGGGAATTTTCGTTGTTGCTTTATCTTTTTCTGATTCCTCCCCATTGTTGCCAACTTCACTTTCAACTCGAGTGAAATGCATCACACAGGACGATTCTAGGGAGATAATTGCAATTCCATCATCAAAACGCAAAAGATCAACATGTGCACAGATTCCCTGCACATCAACAAGAAGCCAGACATTTAGCACCCATGACACTCATGACAAGAGTGGGGAAAGGGTACTCTCATATATCTTCATACAGGTGGTATAGCAGACTCATTGTGATTTAACTACAAGAAATATAGTGATATAAACTAAGAGAAATATAGTGATTTAAACTAAAAGATATATGTGATTATCACTTTTTTGAACCATTTTTTAACAATTCTACACATATTTTGTGCGTCTGTGTTTCTAACTTATAGTTCTAATTATTATATTTTTATCTCTACATTTTGGCAAACAAAATCTAAGTTCTCACCTATATATGCATTTGATTTCCATAATTTGTCTTACAATCTACGTGGTTTCATCAGTGCAGTATAGTCTTCAAGTTTCTTGTTTATCTAGAACGATTCCAGTATCTCTTTAAAGGCGCCCATTGGCAGCACGTCTTTGATATTTTTCATAATTGTCAGCTTTCCATCTTTTGGTTTTTGTTGTTCTTCAGTCTACACAATTTGGTGTTTATTTATTGTTGCTTCTTCATTCAAAGAACAAACAATATCACCTGGTACTAACAGTAAAAGTTGCTCATGGGTTGAAGCACCTCTATCATCTTCCATCCTCACCAAATACGGAACTCTAAAATCTTGAATATTCAGCTAAGCATGCCTGAGTCTATGTGCAACCTAATCATTTGAAACTTGAAATAGAATGATTAATATTTACATATTCAAATATTAAAGAAGATAACCTATTTTCTGGCATGTGTTCACAAACAAAGTATAACCTATTTTCTTACATGTCTTCACAAACACCAGACAATTAGCATTTAGCACTCAAAACAGTAATCATTGTTAATTGTTGTATTGCTACTATAAATGCAACTCAGAAAACAACCAAGTCAATATGACTATGTAGTAGATTACACAAAAGACGGGAGAAAGCAGTTTCACTTAAATATGTCAAAAACCAAATAAATTTGAAATCCAAAAATATAATCGCACCTCACCTGGTTGGTATACATTTACAATTAGTTGATTAAAGAGAGGCTCTCTCCACAACAGATCTGAGGGCAGAAGGCAAGCGTATTTATCATCATTACAAGTTGCTCCTTCCACAAATTCAGAAGCATAATCACTAAAATAAACCACCTCACGAATTGAATTAGATAGTTCAATTGCCCATGACGGGAGATCTCCAAACCTCATAGCCTGCAGCAGAAGGAATATACAAGTTCAAAAACCTCAACAAAGAAGTACATTGAAGACAAATTAGAGAACGGAAAGACCTGTGTGCAAGGTATAAAAATGTATTATGAGTAGCACCATGCGAAACGTAATTATAATAAAAATGTATTATGAGTAGCCCCATGCAAAATGTAGAAAGTTCTACCAAACATGTCAGGTTTAGACTATGTCAAACCTGATTCTGAGAAGCTTCAGTAAACCATCCATCTGCAGCCACAAGTAAAAAATTCAAGAAAAATATATGAGCGCTCAAAAATATAATCACTTTGCATCAAGGAAGGTAACGTTTTCTTTTCTTCTTTCTTATTTTTTTACCCTTTTTGAGAGGGGCGCATGATATTGGCAATACACTTTTGTACACTTGGGAGTCCAATTTTTAATAAAGAAATGGCAAAATTACCCTTGAAAAGTAGGGTGTGATAATAACTTTTTTGTGGTGATTGTGGAGAGGGAGAGTGCTTTTGAAGGACCATTGTGTCACTTCATTTTTGCAAACATCATTTCCATTTTTATTTTCAAAAGAAAAAGTTCAAGTAAATGCAACTAAGAAGGTAAATGAACCAATACATAGATGCACATAAGGAGCATTTCAAAATAATACAAACTGGGAAGAAAAAAAATATGTCCAAGGCTGTTTGGGGGCAATAAACTAATCACCACAGTCCCCTCAATGCAAGCCTGAAAAATACTAATAAGTATTACTTTATATATGCCTCATAACTAAGCCAGATGACACATACATTGAGAAACCCCAATGTCATATGGCTACTCTAAGAGGCAGTAATTTGAGTTGGGTGCGAGATGACACATACATTAATGAAGTCCTAATGGTTATATGGTTAGTAAAAAATGTGGCAACTAGAATTGGGTGCGTAAAACGATTATAAAAGTAGAGCAACTACTGAGCAAGTGTCAATGTTTAGTCCCAAACACCAAACAAAGAAAAATAAATAAATAAACAAGAAAACCAACACTTCCTCAATGGTTGCCTTCCTGCCTTATCCCTACCACTGAATTTTTTTTATAAATAAGAAAAAAAGAAAGCATGTTTCAACCGAAACTTAACCATGCACCACCTACTTTGTTAAGAACAAATGATCCTGTACTCCATTCATAATTAATGTCAGCAAATTACCTAAGAAAATCAAGTACGCAACTGTTTATGCTTATTTAGTGATTACCAAACAAACAAAAGGGAAAAAAAAACTATAAAATGAGAAATCAACATTGGTATTACAAAACAAAAGGAAAAAATAAATACTAGTAGAAGAGAAATCAACGTTGTGACTGAGAAGGGCTTATATTAGCGCTATGAGTTAGAAGTCTAATATTGCTCATCCCACATGATTTCTTACAAGATCTACATAGATACTTCAATACTGACTCTTCATCAGTAAATGGGTAAACGGGGTCAATTATCAAACAATGAGAAAATAAGTTCACAAGCCAAGAAAATAGTGAATTAGAACAGCAATATACATATTTTAGTGTGTCTTAATTATGCAATTAAACAAAAAGGAAATATGCAGAGAAAGAGAGGGATGGGTTACTTTTTTCTATTGCTGAGATGAGCGAAGATTGTTTCTCTGGAGATAGAAAGTCTGTGCATAGCCATAAGCCACTGATTTGGCTGATTCGTTCCCATGACGGAGATCGACTTCCATTGTTCAAATCTTGGGACTGAACTTGGTGAATTTGCTCTTCGTCTTCTTCGCTCTCTGATGATCCGCCAAACACGTCCCTCAGAATCGTTTGGTGATCATCCATTTCTTGACAAACTCCTGGTATGGTTACGGACTCTCAGATTGCCTTCTCTACTACTATCCAGACTCCATACACGGTTTTTAATAAGATACCCCCAATTAACTTTTAGACCCACTCTAATTATGCGGCGGCTTTTGGATCCGACCCAACTTACTGTGACTTTTTTCTTTTTCCCGGGCATCTCCGATGCAAAATGTCATTTCGGTTGTAAAATCTATATTTTTAAAACTGATACATTTCATCCAAAATATTATATTTTAATAATTCTACTGTATTTCATTCAAAATGCTATATTTTAGCAATTCTCAACCTCCATTGAGCCAAGCCCAACCTACTTCTAGCTTCTCCGATCTTACTCTGACGACTCTGACGGTTAATTTCAAAATTACCTTCCCATCTTAACCATTCATTGCATTCCGTTCCACATAATATTTTTAGGGCAAATCATTTCAGCCTCCCCAATTGCCTCCATCTTTATTCTCATTCTCAACTTTGAACTTACCCTTCCTCTGCAACTGCAAACTACAAAATCGACAAGCATTAGAAGTTCAAAACCCATATATTTCAGTTTATCTATATGTCTGCAAGAATCAAAAGTTCAAAACCCATATTAGCATATCATTTCAGATTGTTCAAAAAATCAAAACCCATATCTTTCAGTTTCAATCGCCTGGTGTTCAGTTCGGATTCGCCGTTCGCAAGTTTCAGCCGCTATCTCTCAACTTTCAAGCTTCCCCCCTCTTTCTCTGCAACTGCTAACTTGTATGTATGGGTTTTTTAAAATAATTTTGAGGTGATCACCGTAGTCTCAAAGATTCATCAAAATAAAGAACATCTAAATTCGAAACACATAATGACTAACAAGTGTGAGCAAACCCCAGATTGAAGAACAAGTTAGGTAATGAAAATTTTGAAAGAAACAGAGAGACGGGATCATAAAAATTTTGAATTTTTTCAACAAAATTTACAGATCTGAGAAGATAGATATATCTATATATATATATACATATATGAGAATTTATCCGGTCACCGCCGATAATCGTTGTCGTTGCAGATGAGAGGGAGAGAGAGATCGTTGGGAGAGAGAAACAACATGGCAACACAATCACAGAGCAATGGATTGAAAAGCGACAGAGATAGAAAGCCGTTCCAAATGGCGTCGTACAAAGCGATAGAAAACTCGCCAAAAAAATGGGCAGCTCCTATATCTGAGAGCAAATTTGACATTCTCAAAATTTAGCAGCCCAAATGAAAGCTCATTGAAGAGCCCAATTTTTAAACCTCACTCAAATTTTGAGTTTAGCAGCCCGCTGTATGTGTGTATTTACGCAATAAAAAAATAGTAATTAACTAAATTTTAATTTAATTTGAATTCTGAAATTTCTAAAATACCTTTAAATGAGCCTGTTAGAAAGAATGATATAATCCATGGTAATATTAGGAAAAGAGAAAATCAAATTATACTAAGGCTTTCACTTTATTTAAAAATTAAATTTTCATATGGCTTTCACTTTATTTTTTAATAAATGTACAAATTCAAAAATTAAAGTGCTGAGAGAGTTATATATTTATTATTTACTCAAACTTGATCATGTAATAAATTAGATTCACTCAGGATATTTAAATTCAGCTTAACTCTTTTTGAATATTAGTATTATTGATGGGAGTGAAGGTTAAATATTAAAGGTAACGTCAGTCTCCTGAAAACTTGATTTACTATATAACATGGGTCAAGTGCAGAAAACATGGAAAAAAATCCTCTCTATTACCCAGCTATCAATTAAGACATACAGTTTTAGTATAAAACATATATATATATATATATATATATATTGCAATATTTAATTAATTTAATTTGCACTTTATGAATCCCACAATTTATGCATAGAGTTTGTTTTTTTTTTTTTCACGGCAAGAATTTTTTTTTATTAAAGATCAACCATCAAATACAAAAGAGGCCAAATAATCTTTTTGGACCAAGTTCATCACCTTATCAGGTAATCATACACTCTCTCAATTCTCTCTCTTTGAGCAAGAGCAGCCAATTCATGAAGCTACCTTGTTACATTCTCTGTGAACAAATTGAAAAGAGTACTGTGAATTCTCTGCCCAATGATGGATGTCTTCAGTCACTGTTCAGGTATTAGAAGGAGCCGAGAACTGAGTCTTCAACGCTTTACACACCACTTCAGCATCACATTCAAATTGTACTCGACTTAGGTTCTATTGCCTTGCCATATATCCATACTGCCTTTCTCAAAGCCAAAGCCTCTGCAAGAGTTGGATCTGAAACATGGTCAAAGATGAATGAAGCAGCCCTCATCAATGAACCACAGTCAACTCTAACCACCATACCGCCCCCAGCTTGAAGAGACAATTTACAGAATGCAGCATCTGTATTAACCTTCACCCATCTTTCTGGAGGCAGTGTCCATCCCTCCTTCTGACTAGAGGATGCCTCATCAACTAATCCAACCCCCTCTACAAACTTGCTATCCATGGATTCCAAATAATCCATACATTGTTTTACAGCTACAGAGATGATATCAAATTCAGTCAACCATTTTCCATTGAATACCCAATCGTTTCTTGCTTTCCATAACTGCCAACAGACACACGCAACCATTGCTGGAGCTCTATCTCCATCAGCAGCCGTGCTCCATGAATCAAACATGTTGGACCACCACACATCCCATTTCCCGTGTTCAACCTCTCTGCATCAAGCCTCAACACTGATAGCTTCCATACTAGAGAAGATCTTGGGCATTTACACAGCATGTGAGCAAGCGACTCTTGATCTGACCCACACACTTTACAAACAAAATTTTCCACCATTTTCCTGTTGTGCAAAGTTTCTAAAACAGCCACTTTGTCATGTAAACATCTCCAAATAAAAATTTTAATTTTTTGATGCACTTTCAAATTCCAAACCCCAGACCATAACTGATTCTTCAATGCAACTCTACTACATTCCTCCTCCTCTGACACCCCATGATTTTGGTGAACTTTCTGAAGTTTCAACGCCACCTGATAGGTCGACTTCACTGTAAATTTACCATTCTTACTACAAAGCCATACTTGTTTATCTTCCCCTTGGTATAGACCAATAGGGATCTGCAATATCCTCCTCCAGTCTTCCTCCGAGAAATTCCGTTTCACGAGATCCACATTCCATCGTAATTGGTCTCTATCAATAAGGTCCACCACTCTAAAGTCTAAACACATCTGAATTATCCGGGTTAATCGTTTTCAAGCAAGGGTTGGATTTATCAATCAACCATATATACATTGTAATATTTAATGAATTTAATTTTCATGAAACCAGTTAGAGGGAAGAACAACAAAAAAGAAGAACCCAGGAAAAACAAAAGAAAACCACGAAAGATTTGGGGGAAGAAGAATAAACAATATACGCAGCGAAGAAGAAGGTTAACCAAATCTGAACGATTTCTTGATACAGAAGAGAAGAAGTAAGAAAGTATTTTAATTTAAATAAAAAGATAAAGTTTAATGATATATATATTTTTTAGTAGTATAATATATCGTATAAAATATAACCGTATAAAGTAGTGTTCGTATATATAATAAAATAAAGTGTAGATTAGTAAATTTTTTATTTAATTTACTGCCTTGGAATGATAAAACTATGTTAGAAAGATAATCATCAAGGTTACATGCTCACCGGATATAATCAAGTGAGAGAGTAACAGGAGTGGATTTTTATCCAAAAAAAACATTTTTTCTTACAGCACATATCACACTTTTGGCGTGCACATAAAATAAATTAAATTACAATAAAAATCATATATGGATAACTTTTAGTAGAGAGTAAAAAAATGATTGAGATAAATTTGGAGTGATAAATAACCATCCAAATCCCTCATGTGATGTCCTCAAAAAAAAATGAAAAGATTTAGAAGATAACACATGAGAGATTTGACATTTGACTCTCCCTTATGACATTTGACGCTCACTCTCATCTTATAACATTTTATAAAAAAACTTATGATAGTAATTTTATTTTTATCTTCTTTTTTTTGGAAAAACTATACTTAAGTAGATTTAGGAGTCTTAAATAACAAATCAGTCTATTTTTAAAGTTAAATTTTCAATTTGATCAAGTTAGATAAAATAATTACATATACATTAAAAATTATTATTTTGGTCCAAACTACCCACCAAACTCTTATTTCAAAATATCAAAATATCCTTCCTAAATTAAATAATTATTTCATTCATAAAATTTAGAAAAATAAGATTTCTGAGTTCACTTTCAACTTGGCATTTCTGCATATGGTGTATATATTACCAAAATAAATAAAATAAAAAACAACATATATATATATATATATATATATATATATATATATATATATATTATATAAATTTTGTGTAAAAAACTTTAACGAATCCATGTCGCTTCAAACCTGTAAATATCAATATAGAAATATACAAATAATTTAGTGGAAATTCATTATGTATATAATTTTTTTTTCTGGAAAGTCATCCTATATATATATATATATATATATATATATATATATATATATACATACATACATACAATACACACGTACGAGAGAGGGAGATCATGAATAAACTAAATGGCGAGAGAGGGAGATCATGAAAAAAACTAAATGGTTGCTTCAGTAAATGATACACCAACAATCATTTTTTGTTTATTTATAAAACAAGTGTAATTAATTGAGCCAAAAATTTGATGATCATCTTAAGGCATGCACCACAAGAAAGATAATTTATATATTCTTGAGTTTAATTATATTTTTCTTTTTGTAGACTAACTTTTGATTGCCCCATTTTTTACTGTATTGAATCTTTTTTTATAATTTGTATAAGTTATGTGTGTGTATATATATGAAACTTGCAGCAATATGGTTCAAAATTAAAGGAAACAAATTATTTAAATAAAGTACTTGATTTTAAGGGAATAATTTTTAGTATTTTGGAATAAGTGTTTGGAGGACATTTTGGACCTAAAACATAGTTATTAATGTATATGTAATTATTTTACTTAATTCAACAAAAGTGAAAAATGAACCTTTAAAATAGACTATTTTGTTTTTTAAGGTTCCTAACTCTATGTAAGTGT